AATTTTGATTTTTCTTTAAATTTAATTTTATCCTTTTTTTTGATTTATTAATTTTTCAAAATTTTCATATTTTCATAATAATGTTGAAAAAAAAAGTTTAGATTATTTATTTAATTGATCTTTGATTTTTGTACTTGAACTGCATTTATACACAAACATACACACATATGTACAATAACATATGATAAAATTGCAAAACAACCTAAAGAATTACATGAAATTTTTTCATTTTTTTCTTTTTTTTTTTATTTTCGTTTATTTATTTTAACAAATTTATAATTTGATAATTATATATATATGCACATATATTCAAATACTATTCTAAATTTATTTTTAAAATTAAAGTTTTAAATTTAAAAAAAAAAAAAATAACAAACATTATCGGTCGCATACGTAACTGTTCTGGACTAATTGTATTCCATGCACCACCAAGATAACGTGCACAAAGCTCACGTGTACATACGAGAACATCATATGGAATTTCCGCAGTTTTTATATTTGGTTGACCAAAAAGTTTCTTGAAAATAAAATTTTGTTTTGAAAATGTTAAAATTGGAATTGAAATCATTCCATTTTAATTTTAAAAGAGATGAAAATTGATAAGATAAAATAGATTTAGAGATGATAAGAAAAAATAAAAGATAAAAAATAAAATAAAAAATTGATAAGATAAAATAGGTTTAGAAAAAAAATTATATTAATGCGACAATTTTTCATTTTTTTTTAATTCGAAAATTTCATTTACATTCTAACTACCATTTTTTTTTCTTTATCATCAAACAATCCACTCTTATCAATAAACATTCAATAATTGATACTTATACGATGAAATTATTCAATTTCTTTTTATTATTTCACAGGTTTCTTTTAATTTCCATACATTTACAATTATCCTTTTTCCACAAAATTTTATCTTCGCAACCTAAATTATCAATTTAACAATCAAAATTTTATCAAATGAAAAAAAGGGAAAGAAAACATCAAAATATACGGATATTACGAATTAAAATGTGAAAATTTCAGAATAATTAATTTTGCAGTTAATTAATTTTACATTAAGAATTATTTCCATAAAAATCTTTTATTATATTTAAATTGTTATGCCAATTATCATTAATGAAATAAGAAATGTATTAAAATTAATGAAATATGATAATGAAATAAAGGTTAACGATAAAATACAAATGAAAGAGAATTGTGACAAATCTAACCTTTAATTAATAATGTAATTTTTTGAAATCATTTTCTATTAGAATATCTTATAATTATTTTCTGTTTGTGTACTTTTTGATATTTTCACATATAAAATACGATAATTTATCTTACTAGCTTGTTATCATTGGTGAATAAAATGATGATAAAATGTATAATCATAAAATGATAAGAACAAATTTATGCATGATTATGTAAACAAATAAAAAAAAATTTATAACTAATTATGTAACATATATTTGTTTAATTGATAAATTAATTCAGTATTTTTGGGAAAAAATTGGACCAACTTTTAATTCGCTTGGTGGCGGAATTTTTATCACTGACATTTTCAATGAATTTTGATTCTGGAACCTGAATCGTAAGCTATTAAAAAATGCAGATTTGATTGCAGCAGCACGATTTCTAGCTGATGATTTCAATGTCTTAAGCATTTCTATATTAGAATACATACCTACAATATCTATTACAAATCATAGATTACAATTAGAAATGATAATGCACCATATCGATGATAATTTCATTGTAATAAGTTAAGCATTGATAAATTACATATTTGTAAAATTTCCGTATTACATTTCAAAATTCCAACAAATGAATGAATATTATTATCAATTTTAAAATCATTTACTAAAATGGTGCATTTATAAATTTATAAATGTTCAAAAGTTTAATCCGAAGATGATCTTTGGACTTTGTATGTTTTATACTTTCAAAATTTTTCAGCAAAATCAAAAATGCTTTATTTCATCGAATGAAACTTAATGATTTAAAAATTTCAACTACATTAAGCTTTCTTTTTAAATCAAATATACTAATTGGTTGGCGAATAATATGAGCTCATTTTCTAAAAAAAAAAAAAACTTTACCCTAATGAGAATTTAGATTCATTCAATCATTTCGGGATATACAAAAATAACTGGGTGCAATATTCATTAAACTGATGACTGCTCTTATCATCCTGGTCTTATCGTCATGATCAGGTATCATAAAGTCTCACCTTCCCAAACTGCTGATTAGTTTACGATGTTTCAAATGGGAGGAGAGAGGTAGATATGGGGTGTAGATGTGTTTATATGCGTGTGTCTGTGTGTGTGTGTGTGTGTGTGTGTGTGCATATATGTATGTGTGTATGTATGTGTGCATGTG